TCCTGCTGATCTGGTTTCAGTGTTTCTCAGTTGGGACTGGTGAAGGTAATGTTTACAGTTATACCATGAGATAATTCTCTGTATGTGTGGAATTGTACCGAGCATTACAGGATATTTAGCATCTCTGAATTCAGTGAACTGAATGCTGAGGTCACATATGTGACAATCAGTAGTCATTGTGACAGTTGGAAAGGCTCCCACACATTTCTGCACATCTGTGAACCAAATGTGAGTAGCACCTGTCCATCCTACCACTTGCTTGCAAACACCCCTGCCAGCTAGGAACTGCTGGTAGCTGGTAGGCCTTACTCGGGAAGCCCAGTTTTTCTTCCTCCGTCTTTTTCTCCTTTCCTTTCTTTCTTCATTTCATTTAATGATCCAAGGTTATAATGGAAGTTCTGGGTGGTAAACAAGAGTTAAAAAGGTAAAGTTTATGCTTTTAAACTTAAATATATATCCCACAGTAAGAAATACATTTTATATCACTCACACGTACAAAACTGAAACCAAAATTTCACAAAACACCTACTCTTACTTAGAATGGTGCATTCTGGTATTTTCTGTTCTGTTTTTCCTTTTTTACAATTGATTATGATCCAGTAAATTAAAGGCCTTCTGTTGGGGCAAACCTCAGACGGTGAATGATTGTGGGAAACTCTGAAGTCATACACAGAGTTTTATGTACACGTATACTGTAGCAAGAGCTTTCAGATTCTCAGAAGTGTCTGTGGCCCAAAAAGGGAGCAGAATCCTTGTTCTTTAATAACAGATTTTCCTCTTTGGGATGGTGTGAACAGAAGATTTTGTCATTAGTGGCCTATGCCTAGATGACTTCTGGTTACCACCTCCCTCCCGGGTCACCACTGGATTTGTGTAATTGAGTGCTATTGCATGCCAGGATTATCATGGCTGTTTATTAATAAGTTAAGGTTATTTTTAGTAAGTCACATTTGAAGAGCACTTTACTGCCAACAAAGTACTGTACTTCCATTCAAATTAATTCACTTCATCTATAGAAACTCAGTGGTTGCTGGCAGACAGGTAGATGGTTAGCCAGATTTGCAGAGGAGGAAACGGGAATGAGGCTGGCTGAGTGACTCGGCCCAGCTGCACTGCTAATCAGCGGCTGAGCTGAAATGCAGTCAGGTCTTCTGACTCTCAAGTCTAGTCCCATTCACCGTGAGTGATACAGCAGGAGCTTGCCTAGAAGTGGTCTCCTCAGAGGCTGCTGATTTACATTCCCTCTTGTGTGGCAAATAGTGGCTTGTACCAGTTGGCCCAGGTGGGAGGTCTTCCCCCCATTGGAAAGCCCCTGCAGTGGTCCCAGGTACTCCAAAGCCCTCTCCGTGTTTGCCCTCCCAACAGAAGCCGGGAACATCCTGATCTGCAGCTGTGGTGTCAGCCTTGGAAACAGCATCTGGCGGAGGGGAGATCTCATTCCAAACACATCCATGTCACTGAAGTCAAGAGCAGGGAGGAAGCCCCAAGCTATAGAACTTTGAACGGGGCGGTGGAGAAGCCTCTGCCCCTACCCTTGCCCCGGTCTGTGGAGGAGTCATATATCACCAGCGAGCACTGCTACCAGAAGCCCCGCACCTACTACCCTGCTGTGGAACAGAAGCTGGTGGTGGAGACCCGGCGCTCTGCCCTTGACGATGCAGTCAACCCCCTCCATGAGAATGGTGATGATTCCCTCTCTCCACGCCTGGGCTGGCCTCTAGAACAAGACAGGAGCAGAGGGGACAGTGACCCCAAACCCAGCTCCCCAAAGGTATGGGGCTCGCTTGTACTGGTTCTTAATTCGGTGTTTGAGTGCTTGTACCTTCTCCTCCTAGGGCTAAATGTTCTGTGGAAGATGTTTATTATAGAGTTGTATTTACTGTAAAATTGTATATAAATTTGCTTATCATAGATGTTTTTTGGTCTGTTAAAATGAGTACAAAGTCAAGGGAGCCCACTTAAACCCCAAAGATCATTGGTTCTAGGAAATGTGGCAGAGTCGGGGGCGGGGTGTGGAGAGGTGGGAGGTAGCAGGGGAAAAGGGTTGACTGGAACTTGATAAATGGAAGTAAGTTAGGAAAGTGAGTTTTTTTCTTCAGTGCAATTTATAGTTGCCCGTGGGTGCTAATCCTTCCCACAAGCAAAGAATGAGTCAGGTGTTTTGTTAGGCATAAGGTTTTCAGTACAATTCTATGCTGGCTCTACTTTTCACTTTGCAGCCCTGACATAGGAACAGTCCATTTTGTCAAAATATTTGCTGGTTTCATCAGTTTTTCCAAGAGATACTCTCAGTTTCTTGTTATTCAAGTCATTCTCTTCTGGAGCCCCCTGTGTTCTCTTGCCAGTGTTCTCTGGTCTGATTCTGCCCTGTCCTCAGTTGTCGGTGAGGATTTGTGTGATTTGAGAGCTTCTCCACCCTTGTCATACTTACTTTCACAGACTTCATTTTGTGGGGTGGTATCAACAGCATAAGTCCATTGCTGCATCTTGCCGACGGGGAGCATCCTAGGTTAGAAGCCCCTCAAGGGTGGGCATTATACCTCGTTCAGCCTGTATCCTTGCCAGGGTCTAAACAGTGCTGGATGAGGCTGGTGAGGACATAGTCTTTGGAGACAGACCCAGCTTCAAGTCTCGGCTCAGCCACTTGCTGTGTGATTCTGAGCAGGTCACTTCACCTCCTCAGACGTGTCTCCTTACCCCCTGTCGAGTGGAGCCAGTGGCAGTGCCCTCTCAGTTACTGTGCAGCGTATCTGTGAAAAGCTCTCAGAACATGGCTTTGCACATGGTGACCCCTAAATAAATGTTAAGTAGAACCTATTTCATTTCAAATGAGTGAATGAAAGGTTGCGGTCACAAACCCCAGAAAAGGTTTATGGTCATGCAGACTGGGCAAATTGCCTAGAGGTGTCTGGCACATCATGAAAAAATCAGGAAATACTGGGCCTAAACAAGGCAGCTGGGGTTAAAAATCTCTTTCATTGATAGCAGGCTGACCATAGGCCGGCACTGTGTTTTACAAACATTATCCTGTTTCATCCTCATGAACCTTTACAGCAGGATTTACTATTTCCTTCTTTCCCATGAGGGAACAGAGGCCCAGAGAGGTGAAGTAACTTGTCCAGATACGTGCGCTCAGCGAGACATGGAGCTAGGATTTAAAGCTAGTTTGTCTGACATCCACATACTAACCCCTGTCTACACTTGCCCTGCTGTGTTCTGATCTCAGGTTTCTGGAAGCCCTTCTTCTGTGAGGCCTACTTCAGGCCTAGGGCATTGGGCCATTCTTTGGGAAGCAGCTGTGGGATCCTCTGAGCCAGAGGTCTGTGCTGCCCTGAGGTGGTCGTTATTGGTACAGCAGGCACACTTCTGCCCAGTGCCCAAGAGGGGAGGAACGGGGCAGGGAGGTAGAGAGTTGGGATATTCAAACTGCAACTGGGTTTTCAAATGGTTGTGGACACTGGCTGTTTGGAAAAGGGGCTGGGAGCTGTCTCCATGCAGTAACTTCAATGTTGTTGCATCCCCAGGTGAGGGAATATGTCTCCAGAAAGGTCCTGCCTGAGGAAGCCCCCGCTCGGAAGCTGCTGGACAGAGGCGGAGAGGGGCTGCTGAGCTCCCAGCATCAGTGGCAGTTTAACCTGCTGACGCATGTGGAGTCTCTTCAGGACGAAGTCACGCATAGGATGGACTCCATTGAGAAGGAGCTGGACGGTAGGGCTCCCTCCTTGGCTCCCTGCACTTGGCAGGCACTGTGGGCCCGCCGGGATGAGCTGCATTCTGAACCCCTTGATCTGCTCTCTAGGCACAGCTGTGTTCTTGCCTCGTCTCTGTCAGTCTCACCACCTTCATTCTCCCCTCAAGATGGCAGAGCCTTACTTTTAGTATTGATCGGGCACTTCTAAGGTTTGTGCGATGTCAGGGGTCCTGCCTCACTTTCCCAGTCCCTTCTGCCAAGGAGAGTGTGCAGGAGAGCAGCTGGGCTCTGCCTGCGGGTAATGTGTGATCTGAGCAGATCTTTACTAAGCCAGTTCTGTGGGGAATTGAAACTTTGACCTATTTGAGCTTTTAAGATGTCTGAGGATTGATCTGAAAACACCTTTTATTTCAGCCTTTCTTAAAATCTAATATGAAGCCTTCTCCTCTTTATCAGTAGAGATTTAAGAACTTGACTAAGTCATTTATGTAGCCCCTGGGTATTTGTCCCAGATGTTAGTGGTAACAAATGGGCTTGGAGGACTGAACTCTTGATCCCCAGGGTGTTGTCAGTTTGCTTTTTGAAGACAAACTTCCTTCTTGATTGTTTGTTGTCTTATTCTCTTATTTCCTAATTATTTGTTTTCATCCTTAGAAAGGAGACTGATTAAGAAATAAATGTTCTGTTTGAGGATTCTGAGTACAGCCAGGCTGTTATTACTGTAATTGGGGATGAAATAACTCAGAAGAAAAATGCCATGTGTTATGTAAGCGAGGGTCACAAGGTACGGCTGAGGCCGGGCCAGGGGAGGAGAGCTGCTGTGAGGGGAAGTGATGACAGGAAGGCTTCCTGGAGCTCCTGGGACTGAAGCGGAGCCTTGAAGAGAGTGATGCTTTCTGCTGCAGCGGGGTGACTGAGGGTGGATGATAAGAGGATTGGCTTGACTGGGGGAGGGCTGGCCCTGATGGAGGACAGTGCGAGGATGAGAGCCTCATGCTTTCTTTCCTGCCCGGAGGCAAACCTGCGGAACCGGGAATGGGAGGCCAGTCCAGGGTCCATTGTGAGGGCATTTCTGGAAGGCGGAGTGTTTCTGTCTCTCTTTCACTCCTGAACGGTTTCCTTGCGCTCCTCAGAACGGTAGCTGATGCTACCGTTTTCACCGGCTGTGAAAAACCCTGCTATTAGAAAGCTGAAAGAGGATGGAATGCCAGACTGAAAATTGTAGAGTTTCAGACAGTGGCGGTAGAATTGGCTCTGGGTCCCTGAGAAGAGGCTTAGCACCATGGAAACAGGGCGAAGGCTCTGTTGTTGCCAAAGGAGCCTGCCCCTAGGGGAGAAGTCAGAGCCTTCTTTCTTTCCTTCTTCCTCCCTCCCTCCCTCCCATTTTATTTTTGGCTGCGTTGGGTCTTAGTTGCGGCATGCGGGATCTTTTGTTGCGGCGTGTGGGCTTCTCTCTCTCTGCTGTGGCACACGGGCTCCAGAGTGCGTGGGCTCTGTAGTTTGTGGCACGTTGGCTCTGCGTGGGCTTAGTTGCCCCGAGGAATGTGGGATCTTAGTTCCCCGCCCAGGGATCAAGCCCACGTCCCCTGCATTGGAAGGCAGATTCTTTAACTGGACCACCAGGGAAGTCCCAAGCTTGGGCTGCTCCAGCCCTTAGTTCACTGAGTAGTCAGTGTGGCCAGGATGATAAGCCTGGGCTCCCTTCTCTGGCCTTCCAGAGGACTCTTGTGTCCTGCTCATCTGGGGCCACACACTCTGTTCTTGTTCTGATATTCCAGGCCCCGAGAGGTACTGGAAGCATGAAAATCAATTATAAAGTTTAAAGATTTTATTCAGGTAAACAGTTTGCATTGTATTTAATAAAGATTCATCAGAATCCCATTTTATTTCTACTATCTTCATTTCATCTAAATACCATCAAGATAAACTGAGCTTTTATAGGAATTTGGATACAATATTCCTTTTTAAAAAGTCTGATAAGCTATTGTATTGACTTTTTAAAATGTCATTGTTTCAGTATTAACCATTATTTAATAACTTATGTAGTTGTGTGAACAGTCTTATAAAACTAAAAGATAAAAGATATTTAATGACCATGAAAATACTGAATCTTTTAGCATTAGAAAGATTTTTTTTTTTTAAATGTTACCTTAGTGAGCATTGGCCTCTATCTAGATGGTCTGGGGGAGTGTATTTGAAATGAAACTTTACCTTTATAACCTGCTGCCTTTCTTGGAATCATGATACTGTTGAGAAGCTGTTGAACTTCCTTAAAAGAGAAACTTGGGGTGATGGTCCAGCACCTGGTGTGGAGAGAAGCCTGGCTTGCTGGATGCTGGGGTCCAGAGGAGGTGCTGTTGGCTCCCACAGTTCTGGGTCTGGTCTTCTTCGTTCCTGCTAGAGAGAAGACTTCCACCTTAGGGGCTCCAAACACTCCTCTTAACCAAGTTCAGACACTATGAGTGGCCTAGACTCTTCTAGTCTGCACACTGACTGATGCTCTTTCTCCCTGTGCGTGCCTGCTGGGTCACCATGGTGTTGGGGGACGTCTTGGTTGAGCCCGAACCAGATCTTAGGTAGTTCCAGTAGCTTTAAGAGGGGCCTCAGCAATTGTAGGATCATCTTGCCCAGGATAGACTGACTGACATTTTCTCTTGGAATCAGCCCAGCCAGCCTTGACTGCCTTAGACTCACCCAGATGGGCTCTTACGGCATTAACTTTGAGTCTTTTCTCCATTTACTCTTTTTTTTAAAAAAAAGATTTATTTATGCATGCATGCCAGGTCTTTGGGATCTTCGTTGCTGCGTGTGGGATCTTTAGTTGTGGCATGTGGGATCTAGTTCCCTGATCAGGGATCAAACCTGGGTCCCCTGCATTGGGAGCGTGGAGTCTTAACCACTGGACCACCGGGCAAGTCCCCCCTCCATTTACTCTTGTGCTCTTTAGCTGAGCAGTTCCTGTCTCTCTCTAGTCTGTGGACTCCTTTTTCTTTTTCTTTTTTTTTTAATAAGACTGTTGTATTGAAACTGGTCACTATGGAGTTTTTCTTGCTCAGGAGGTCACTGGTCACTGTCATTTAACTTTGATCCTTTACTCTTGGTTTTTAAGTTCCGTCTGAGAAGTCAGTTTTGTATTTCTTATTTTCAAGTCCTTGTAATTGTTGCGATCAGGAGGAGGGAAGGCTCCTCCTCCTTGGAACCCCCGAGTGCCAACAAGAAATCTGATGGAGGAAGGTGAACTCTGAGGAGCCCGAGCGTTCAGTGGGGCATATCGCTGGACTGTTCCTGCATTCTCTCACTGCCTCTGTCGAGAACCTACTATGTACCAGGCATAGTTGAGTGTTAGGGATATAATGGTGAGTAAGGCAGGCTCTGCCTCTGCTCTCATGGAGCTTGATCTTATGTTAGAGACAGATATTAATTAAATCATCCCGTTATGTTTACAAACCAGGATAAGTGCTCCAAAGGAGAGCAAGTGATAGCATAGTACCTGTGACACAGGGACCAGATTCAGATTGTAGAGTTGGGGAAGGGCTCCCTGAGAAGTAACTTGCAGGGAACAAAGGATTTAGAAAGGTGGGAAGGAAGATGGAGGGCTGGTTTGAGGAGGGCAGAGGATTGTGTATGAGGCTGCAGGCTGCTTGAGGAACAGGCACTGCATGGTCTTCCTCTTTCTGCACTCTGGCTCCAGGGTCCAGATGGTGCTCAATAGAGGTTGATGCACAGACTAGAAAGGCTACAGGCAGGCCGGGGTAAGCACAGGGCCTACCTGGAGGGGCTGGCTCTCGTCAGAGGTGCAGGGCTCCGGAATGGCCCCTCCCCAAATGCCAGAGCTTAAGGGAGTGGCTTGGGGAAGAACAAATATCTTTCTATAGAGAAATTTCTGCTCTCAGAAGCAAGACAGCTTTTTAGATATTGAACTAATTGTAGTCAAGTTTGTTAGTATCTGGACATTTTACATTAAGTACTTAGAAAATAAAATCAGAGTGTTCTGGGCTACTGATGATAGGAATCAATATGAAGCAGATCAGAATTTATGGGGACAAAAATAGACCTTTTCAAGTCCCTTTAGATTCTCATTTTTCTTAACAGAAGGCTAAAACACCAGGCTCTCTGATTTTCAACATGGGAAAGCCTTATAAAGATGGGGCGGTAACACTGAGAAAGGTGGGTCCTTCCAAGCCGGCTAGACTATAGAGCTGCACGAATGCAGTAGTCACTAGCTATGTGTGGCTATTTAAATTAATTAAAATGGAATAAAATTTAAATTCAGTTCCTCAGTTGCACTAGCCACATTTTAAGTACTCAGTAGCTACATATGGCTAGTGGCTATATTAGACAACACAGACATAGCCCATTTCCGTCACTGCAGAAAGTTCTGTTGGACTGCACTGCTCTGCAGCATTTGAGCTTTGTCCTAGGAGTAATACTTTGCAGAGAGGGTGATGAGTCAGTGTTGCCTGAAATGGCCCTCCCTCCCCGCCCCCCCATGAGTGGTTAGGTGGGATAAAGTGCTGAAATTCTTGCTGACATTCTTGCAGATCAAGTGTTGAGAACTCACCGGGTCCTCTCTCTTCTGCCTACAGTGTTGGAGAGCTGGCTGGACTACACTGGGGAGCTGGAGCCCCCGGAGCCTCTGGCCAGGCTTCCACAGCTCAAGCATTGCATCAAGCAGCTGCTGACGGACCTGGGCAAGGTGCAACAGATCGCACTCTGCTGCTCAACATGAAACTGGGCACCCCACACTAATGGGGGCACAATCCTGGGGCACCTGCCGGAGGAGCTTCACATATTTAAATAAATAAACCTAGCATGCCGAATGCACGTGACACCGACTGACTTCAGGGATCTGGGCAGGGGTGTGATGGACTTGGACAAAGAGGCTGTTTTGGCTGCTGGAAGGGAGGGCACTCTGATCTCGAAGCCTACCAAGAAGGTAGCAAATAGACTCTTGGGATTCCCTTCTTCTGTGCACATTGTTGAATGGAGAGTGAGTCTTTTTGCACAAACTTCACTTGAAATCGTGCCACTGATGATAAATGGAATGAGAGCCAAAAAAGTTTAGTCGGAAACAGTTGTAAATTCAACTTGCAGCTTATTTAATTGACTTTTCTGTCAGGTTGGGGCACATGCCAAGCCTTCTGGTTTTCTGCCTGGCATGGATTTAGGCAGCAGGCATCATTTTCGTTTTTCCAGCTTCGTGGGAATGTCGTGACTTCACCGTTCTGTGGAGGTTGGGAAGGAGCAGAGTCCTTGGCCGCCCTGCCTTCTTAGAACTCTTCACTTTCTCACCACCTCTGTTGCATGACTTCATGGTACCAGGGACAAGTTTTGTATGCTTTCACCCCAGAATTGGCTGGGTTGTGTCTTTTGTAGCAGAACCCATACAGCCTGTGGAAGAACTAGAATCTCACTGTAATAATCTAGGAGGAATTCCAAACTGAAGCAGGCAGGGTCTGGAACCCAAAGAACAGCATTTTCTACCCACTTCTTGACAGCTTACCAGTTCTATTTAATGTCCAACAAATGGTTCCCCCAAATTTGAACTCTCACTGTAAAGATTTGTTACAAAGAATGTGGTTTGGGGAATTACCTTACTTTGTATTGTTGTAAACAAACCAGATTCTACATCTGCTGCCGCTTTTCCCCTTCCCCGAAGGGTATATGTTCAGTAGTTGGCATTTTCAGAATTGTTTTAATATACTTTAACACTTTAAATTTCCTGTTCGTATTATTTTGTGAGATCAAGGTGATTATGCTGCTTAAGGTCCAGGTACAGTTTGTACCTTCTGAGACAATATTTGTTACTCTTCCAGGTTACGGTTCCACGTGTAATTGTTTTGTTTTTCCTTACTAGTTAAAGTTAAAGAAGATGTTCCATGCTTTGAGGAGTGACCCGTTTTACCATTTAGTTTTCCTATCACTAAAGGCAAAAATCAAAGCACATCTATCCATTAACACTCACAAGTTAATTATGGGTTTATGAATCTGTAATGTTATATGCTGCAAATATTTACTATGTAAACGTGAAGTAGCCAATATCTCAATAGCAATGACAGTATCTCCGGTGACCTTTGGGATGGTTAGGCTTTAAGGTACAGGTCATTGCGGTCACAAAGCCCTCTGTACCAAGATCTGTTTCAGGGTATGCTTTGTCTAGTAATTTAATTCACCATTTGATATAAAATGAATTTAGGACAAGTTGACCTGCTGTAACTCATCCATCAGAGGGAATACATGTGGCTATGACATCTGTAATAAAGCTGACACAATTCCTCTGTAAGAGGTTGTTTCCCATTGCTAATGTTGGTGTTTCTGGTGTGGGAAGAAACGCTCAAGGAGTATGCATGGCATCTGTGTTTTGCATAATTTATCAGACGGCCACATTATAAGAACTGTGTGAAGCTTGTCTGAAAGGGGAAGAAACAGGATGATTTCCTGTAGCCACAACTGTGAGGTATGGTGACTTATTAGATTACTGATTTTTCTTTCCTGAAAACACATTTGAGCATAACTTCTGGGGAAGCTGTAATTTTAAGGGAGTCAATCTCATGTCTTTTTCAAGATGAAAGAAGAAACTGAGTTACCCTAATTTTGCCAGGTGGCCATTGAGTTTACTGTATGCTTTTTGTAAAGGAAATAATCCCATTTCACTCATTGTGACCTTTGTCCTTAGGGAAGCAGGGGGTGACTCCCAAGTTCTCATAACCCCAGTGTGCTTCCCTAATTTAAAGCCATGTTGAGGGGCTCCATCCCCAATTCCTGGGTCAAGTTGAATTAACCCCAGGCTGGAGCACTGGAAACTGTTATTTGCAAATATTACTGTTACCATTTAGAAATATGTACACTACCTAAGTTTTCTTTTGAGAAAAACTATCCACCTATTAAAAAAAATTGCCTTGACAAAAACAGTTCTGGTTTGACTAATCATTTTGTTTAAGTGATGAGTGTATGCAAGGTGGACCCTTGATGAGCCAACATTGCACTGTGGATACATATCTATGTTTACGCGCTATTAGAACAGAAGGCGCTGTATATAGAAATGTTGCTTTGAAGCAATATTTGCAAAACATGCAAACTTCTGTATCTGTATTTGGAAAAAATAAAACAGGTTTTTGTTGCTACGTTTCAGTCATTTGTTATAGTTATCTACCCTATTTTTTTTTTTTTTTTTTTGCGGTACGCGGGCCTCTCACTGTTGTGGCCTCTCCCGTTGCGGAGCACAGGCTCCGGACGCGCAGGCTCAGCGGCCGTGGCTCACTGCCCCAGTCGCTCCGCAGCATGTGGGATCTTCCCGGACCGGGGCACGAACCCCTGTCCCCTGCATCGGCAGGCGGACTCTCAACCACTGTGCCACCAGGGAAGCCCTACCCTATTTTTTAAGTATAAATTTATTTTTCTTTTTATATTTATTTTTAGCTGCTTTGGGTCTTCGTTGCTGCGTGCAGGCTTTCTCTAGTTGTGGTGAGCGGGGGCTCCTCTCTGTTGCGGTGCACAGGCTTCTCATTGCAGTGGCTTCTCTTGTTGCGGAGCATGGGCTCTAGGCATGCAGGCTTCAGTAGTTGTGGCACACAGGCTCAGTAGTTGTGGCTCACGGGCTCCAGAGTGCAGGCTCAGTAGCTGTGGCGCAGGGGCTTAGTTGCTCCGTGGCATGTGGGATCTTGCAGGACCAGGGCTTGAACCTGTCTCTCCTGAATTGCCAGGCAGATTCTCATTAACCACTGCACCACCAGGGAAGTCCCATCTACCCTGTTTTTAATGTGCATTAATTTTCTATAAACATTATCTTTTAAAGGAAGTCTGCTTTTACATTCTTAATAGATGTATCTTCTGGAGCGAGGCAGATGCAGGCTTAAATCCAAAATCCCAAGTAAATATGCAAAAGACTTTTGAATTCATTTTAAGTGCCTTTAATATTCAAAAGTAAAATGCCCCACAGCACCCTCTAGCCCAGTCTGGCTCATGCTTTGTGATGTGAGCTGCAGGACTATTCAATTTTTGATAGTTGAAAGCAGTGCAGGGAAAATAGGTCTGGCCTTCCTTATTTTAAAAGATGGCACCCACTGCAATTAGGACCCTTCTGAGGGCAAGCCAAACGGCCTATGAACCCCAATCAGCTCCTTCCTGGGTGTGCGGAAGACTCAAGGAATGGAGTAGCCTCTAAGGTTATACTGCAGAGCTTCCCTATTACTTGCCACATTGCTTCTTCCCTTCCTAAACAATTATGCTTATTAAAAAAGTTAACGGAGGCAGTTGGAAAGACATTAAAGTGAGTAGCAATCCATTAGTTCACACCAGATATGCTCCTTAAATCTTTCAAGAGCCTTAAAATTTGGTAAGAAAGGTGAGTACAGAGGCTTAAACCAGAGCTCACAAACAAGAACTAGCCTGTCTCTGTAAACACCTGCACTAAACACTTACTAAAACAGCCCTATAACTTGGGCCTTTGGGGAAGTCTGTGCCCAAAGGGCAGATTGATGGAGCAAGCTGGTGGCAGCATTGGTATAGCAGTAGCCAGTTAAATAAGCACCTAGTAGAGCCAGCTATTTGCCGGCACGACCCACCGCCATCTACGAGACAACAGAACACTGTCATCTGTTCTCTTAGGTAGGAAAACAAGCTCAAATTCTAGCTAGTGAGAGGTAGGGGCGACGATGGAATACAGGCTGCTGAAGTCCTCATTACATAGACTCCACAAAACAAAGGAAACCCAAGTGCGGCGCTGGGGAACGCGCAGGAAAAAAAATTCCCAGATGTGGCGGCCCAGGCCTAACCAACACATAATGATCCCACAAAAGCCAACGATGGCCAAGTGAATGAGAAACAAAGGCTTTATTCTCATGGGCTCCCAACTTGGTATCGCCACCAGCCAGAAAGGAGGTTGGAAATAGGCTCGGGAAAATAAACACGGTAAAGGACGCACGAAAAGGACACACGAGGCTGCAGGAACTGCCAAAACTCGCTTTTCATTAACGCGTAATGGGGAGCCAGGCTCAGGGCCTCGGATCTGATCATGGCTCTAGTCCAGAGAGCGCCCGGGCCGGGCCGCCCGCAGCTCTGCCGCTCAGCCGGTGATGCGCACGTCCGTGCGGCGGCGAAGCCGCCGAGCCCGCGCTGCCTCAGGCAGGATGGCGAGCAGCTGCTCCTGCACCAGCATCTCCACGATCTGCTCCTTCGTACGGATGTCGGGCCGCAG